CCCCGTCTCAAGGGGCGCCTCGGCCCCCCTCCGGCCCCCACCCCACCAGGCCTGGCAGCTCCATTTCGACTGCGAAATTGAACTAAATTGGAAACCATGCAAGGACTAAAGAAGAAGAAGAAACAAGGTTTCGGCGCTCTCAAAGGACAACCCCCCCCCCCCCCCCCTTCAAAGGACACCCCCCGCCCCCCTTGCCAGGCCTGGTGGCTCAATTTCAACTGGGGGAATTGATCTAAGTTTCAAAACCATGCAAGAACAAGGTTCAAAGAAGAAGAAGAAACAAGCTGAAAAACACATGCAAGGATGGCTTCAGTCTTCCTCTCGCTGGGCTTCAGGTACGAAATCCGAATAGCAGGGAAAGACAGAGTGAAAGAGGCGCTGCTCAATCCATCCATCGCCCTTGGGATGCCCCAAGAAGGAGGTTAAACAGATTTGGAAATGCATTCAAATTTTTGAAAGACTTCCAATAGAAAGGGGGGAAAAGAACAGAATGTCCAGCCCCTCTGCACACACCTAAAGGTCTCTACTTATGCGTGTCATCCTCGCACCGGGGCCATGCTAAATTGCTAATCTTCTCTGTTTTTTTCATTGTTAAACCACCAGTACCTTTCCCATATATCTGCTGCGGGCCACGCCAGAGAGAAACAAAGGACACAGATGTATCCCATTTCGCCAGACAGAAACAAACGACACGGATGTATCCCATTTCGCCACGGGTGAGAACTTCAGTATACACGCCGCGGTATGTTTTTTCAAGCAGGGAAAGGTACTGGTGGTTTAAACTTCATTGAATGCTAATCTCGTTCCAATTTTAAAGGATGTCTCGAAGAACCGCAGAGTGCACACCAAAACGTCGGAAACACAGTTGAGGACAGTTTCCCCAACTTGGAGAAGCAAATTTTGAGCGATGCCCTGTTTCTCAGGACACCCCAGACAGAGAGCGACGACTACTGAGAAGAGGAAAAGAAGGTAAGGTGTATACGGCTAGAGAGAGCTAGTTGCCTCACACGAAAAAATGATGGTAAGCAGCCAACTGTGGGTGACGGCACACCCCTTTCAGCGCATACTCAGATGAGCACTTTCCAAATGGGCAGGCATGCACAAATCTGACCGCAATGATGTCCAGCTTTTTGTAGCAAAAGATCTAGTAGTAATGTGAGTATGGCATCACAAGAGATGGTAGAAAGGTAGGAATTGGAAGTAAGTTCAAGTAACCAACCACTGGCTCCGTGAAGGCTCCTCACACCGACACAGGAAACGAGCCCCGACCTTCTCTTCACCCAAATACAACGGGTTGTCATTATTGTTATATCTTGACTCAAAATTGGCCCAAAACCAACGGACGTAGCACAGTTGATACGCCCATGAACTGTTGAAACGCAGACCCAAGTTCGAATCTTGATGGAACTAGGTGAATGGAATGAGATAATTATGAATTACCGTGAGCTCAGATCCCCTGTCCATCGATTCTCCCAATATACCTCCCACTACCTACCTTACCAGGAATGATACACACTTTCATACGCCCTCTGGCGGAAATGCCGGCAAGCTACACTGAGGGTTATGGGTTGAGCCTACCCCCTCAGGGTTGAGGCACTAGGGGTTATGGGTTGAGCCTGACCCCTCAGGGTTGAGCCTAGCCCCTGGCCACGGGTGGCATTCCCCACCAACCAACCAGGAGCTCAGGGGCAAGCTGACTATCTCAGTTGGTGAAAGCGCCTCACGAAGTGTGGGAGCTCTATTGGGTAGCGTTGGGAATCGAACCCACAACCTTCTGAATGCCACTTTTGTGCTCTACCAACTGAGCTAGGCCGCTTGGCCCAAACAATCTGTTCTTTTTTTTTTTTTTTGGACCATTCTCTATTTATGCGTGTCATCCTTGCGCAGTGGCCATGCTAATCTTCTCTTTCTCTGTATCGGTCCAATTTTGACAAATATCCTGAAGGACACGAACATCACTTTTCAATGTTGGTCTCCCAAATCGACAGAAGACCGCCACTAACATTATTCAACAACAAAAAAGAAGAGGAAATACCCTAAAACAGGGTTAATTGCAAAAATATTGCCTTTTGGCCCTTTTCCAAGTTTGGCAGCAAAGTCGTTGTTGTCCGTTCCAAGTTTCCTTTGCAAAAATAGAGGTTTTGTTGCAGCTTTACCGGGTTCCCATAGTTTGCCAGCAAAAATGCAGTGTTTCGCCAAGTTTCACAGCAAAGGACCCCTAAGCATCTGGCCTCAGGTACTCAGGGACTCGTTCTGGCCTCAGGTACTAAGGGATACAAGTTTTTTTTTTTTAACCTTTTTTTCCCCACGGGCGTGGCCGAGGCACAGCCATGCACCGAGATGATTCCTTTTTTTTTATGTCGGGCGTGGCCATGGCCGAGACACAGGGAAAAGAAAAGAAAAAAAAAAGGTGAGCGAGGCATCTCGGGCGTGGCCACGGCCGAGATGCATCCCTGAGTACCAGAGGCCTGACCGCTGAGTCCCTGAGTACCTGAGGGCAGAGGCCTAGGGGTCTTTCACTGTGAACCTTGGCAAAACGCTGCATTTTTGCTGTCAAACTATGGGAATCCAGTAAAGCTGCAACGAAACCTCTATTTTGCAAAGGAAACTCGGAACGGACAACATCTTTTCTGCCAAACTTGGAAAAAGCAATATTTTTGCAAATAACCCAATAAAAGAAGTGGACTTTCAACTCCCGTTTTCGCACTGACTCCTCCCGCAACAACCAAAAGGAAAGCCGCCCTTCTTCCCCCGCACACAATGCCGCGAGCCAAGTCCCAAATTAATTCTTCATTTCTGAGCCTCCACCGCTGCAATCTACGATTAGAAATGAAGGACACCGGCGGCCAAGTCCCACTAGCAGCGTTGACTGTCATCAACGCCCGAATCTGGACGTGTTTGTGGAAAGGTGGGGTTGAGGACACTCAACGCGATTTCTGCACATCTACAAAAACACGTCCACATTTGGGCGTTTCCTTCCCCATGGGTGAAGACTAGAAAGCACGGCGATGTGTGTGTGTGGGGGGGGGGGGGGAAGGGAAACCTAAAAAAGGCACCTCGATGTGGAGTGGGGAAGGCTCACCTTCATCTGTACGTGGAGGTGTCGACGGTACGATGCATCTTGACCGGGCTCAATTTTTGTCCCTTTCGTTCATAAACGACCCACATACTTCCGTCGCAGCATAACACAACATGGGGCTAAATTTCCCACTAAAACCTAGCCCCAGGTCGCCGACTCTTATACCCGTGTAACCGCTGATAAACCCACACCTCAGTTCGAAACATCCTGGATGAGACCAATAAGACCAATAAAATAAGGGCCAGATCCCACTGGCAAAGAGTGGTCGGAATATGTGTCTGAATCTGGAAGTGTTCCACACACAGATGCAGAAAAGCAGATCAATCGCAATTTTTTGCACTTCTTCACAAACACGTCCAGATTCAGACACTTACTCCAATCCTCATTGCCAGTGGGATCTCGCCCTAACTCTGAATCAACGTCGGCCAGTCAGCTCGGTGATGATTGTCCGATTTATACGTGTCATACTTTCTTTTTGTTGTTTTTTTTCAGATAGAAACGATACTACACATGATCTCAGCCAAAAGGCCAAGAAAGGTAATTATACGTGTCATCCTTGAATGCGCAGGGACGATTTGCTAATTTACCCTTCTCTATATCGTTCCAATCTCAGAAATCGCGATTGATCTGCTTTTCTGCATCTGGACGTATATCGCATCCACATTCAGGCTCTTAATCCAATCCTCTTTGATAGTGAGACTGCGCCCCCTGCATTCTCTCTACAAATGTCTGCGACTTGCTTCATCTCTGAGAACAGACACTGCCACCTTCTCCCGAATAGAGCGTACAGTTATTATAGCCTGAATGTAGGACACTTTCAGTCCAGATACAGTGATGATGACCGGACGTTCCATTCGTGGGAAGACGGTATTCGTAGAATACTTTTCGAACTCTGTTTTCTGGACATGGCTGCGATTAGATGAATCCAACTTTTGGCCGTAATTGCGGTTAGATACATCAATCGTTTGGCCGCATTTGCGGTCAGATTCATCCAGGAATGTCCGACTGGGAGTTAATATCCCGTCAGTCTCCGATGACATTGAGAGTATCTCCATCGTCATAGTACTTCGATCCAATACACAACACTCTAGATGAATCTGGAGCTCATAATCGCCACGATACATTCCAAACGTTGGACTCCTCCAAACGACCTGGTCCAGAAAGGCATCCAAGTGCACGTAGAGTGTTGAGTAGTGGAACGAGGCCCATAGTATCATCGAGCTGGTCGATCGCCTACCATGTTCACCCGAATAGAACACCCTGCCATTTTCGCTTCACTAAGACTGAAAAGTTGCCCCAAATATGGCTAAACTGACGTGGCATTCTGTTCGAGCTGGTGGGAAGCTCTGAGACGTTTCTGCACGCAATCACGGACAGATTCTGTTATAGAAAATCCTACCCGTCTTCACCCGAATAGAACGCCGAGTCATAATCGCCGTATCTAAGACTGAAAGTTACCCCAAATGCGGCTATAATGACCGGGCGTTCTATTCGAGTGAAGACGGTAGCAGGAGTATCACCTTCCTGTTATGCTATATGATCACCCCCTTAGTTTTTTATGGCCATCGTTCTTATATTATTAATTTATATAAAAATTGATATAGCCAAAGAAAAAAAAAAAAAATGTAGCCAGTCATTGGCATTCCGATTACAGCCACATTGAGGTGAGAAAAAACCTAGGGCCTCGTTCGACACCACTAGAAAACCCTTACTTTGTAAGAGCGCCCTTACGACAAAAAACTGATTTTTCCCTTACCCCAGTTTTCGTTCCACAACCACTTACAAAAACCCTACACTTAGGCGCACTTACGTTTCAGGTGCCTTCTATTCCGTTGTATTTGGCTACCTGCCTGAATTCCAATGTCCGACCCAAAGTTGAGGCGGACGTAACCGTGTCCGCGTCCTTTGGGCCCACGGCGGAGTGAGGCGGGCCTTCCCAATGGGCGCGCGGTGTCCTTCCACCGCCAGCGAATCACGCGCGCACGGCCCATCGAATTCGAATTCAAAATCCGCTCCGGCAGGGAGGTTCATGTGGACTGCTTCGTGGAGTCGTCGCGTGCGCGTTTCTTTACACCGCACTGCGCGAATTTTCTACCGTTGCGGGAGCGGAATCGTCTTCGCGTGCCGCACTTGTGACGTGTCTTCGCAAGCGTGTTCGGCTATGGACGGTGGCGGAAGGGTGGACGCGGAAGTGAGGACACTGTCACACTGTGAGAAGACCATGGTCGCCAGTGCCGTCCTCGCGGTCTGTCGGTACATGGAGACGGTGAACGGACTGCGGCGGGGGGGGGGGGGGGGGAAGGGGAGGAGGGAGGCCGCCATAGCCCAGGCATTGGCAGATGTTATCACGTCGTCCGGCGTGTCGGATGCGCCGTTCCTGATGTCGAACGCTATTATTGCGGGTGTTCTGCCAAGGGACACTCCGCGGTGGTGGATGAAAAGATGGACAGGGGGGACATGGCAGGACTTGGACATCACGGACGATGCCACCGATGACTATTTCCACGACAAACTGCGAATGTCAAGGAGCATCTTCAGCAACATCGTCGCAGCGTGCAGTCCCTTCATCGAACGTAGACTGACACATTACCGAGAGCCTTTGCAGCCCGACCTCATCGTCGCCTTCACTCTGTACAGGTGGGCTTCGGGCGAGACCTTCGAGAGCGCGTCTTCCAGCTTCGGCATCGGCAGGGCGTCGGGATTGAAGGCTGTCATGGACGTTACTAACGCAATATTGTCTGCGTATCCCGACAAGATTGCCATGCCTACTGGACGTCGTCTGCTGCAGGTGACCCGAGCTTTCGGAGCGAAGGGCTTCCCTAATTGCTCTGGCGCTATTGATTGCACGCATGTGTACGTTGACAAGCCCGCCAACGCACCGTCGGAGAACTACTACGACCGTAAACAACAGTTCTCGGTCGTCGCCCAGGTTGTGGTGGACCTCGACATGAGGATTCTTGATGTGTTCATTGGGTACCCGGGGAGCGTCCATGACCAACGGGTGTTGAGAAACTCATCTCTGTTTCGATACGCGGAGGTGGGTGAGCTATTCAACGCGGAACCGGTGCAGCTTCCTGGAGGGGTGTCCACGACAGGTTATCTCCTCGGGGATAACGGCTACTCTCCAAGGACGTGGATGGTCGTCCCCTACGGAGGGTGCGAGCAGACGGGGGATCAAGAGGGCTTTTGGCCGGCTAAAGGGGATGTGGAGGTTGTTCCTCCGTCACCACAAGACGAACATGGACAACCTTCCTCAACAATTCACAGCTGTCTGTGTAATCCACAACCTTCTAGTCGAGGCTGGGGTACCGTTTGATGATGCGGTCCTGCTAGAACCTGATGAGAACGGGAATCTCGTTCGTGTCGATCTAGGGTTGCAAGATCTTCCACGGCCCGTGTCACAATCAGACGCAAGTGACGATGCTCTGGCTTTGCGTCACGGTCTCCGTATGCGAATGCAATCTTGAAAATCCTGATACATGCGCTGTCATGTGGACGGCTGTTGGTTGTGATTCGGACTGCCCACACGTCTTCGCATCTGTGTTCCTACCTTAGGTATTAGCTGCCGCCAGTTCATCCTTCCCCGAACGGGAAAGCAATCAATGCCGGTTGGCGAGAGTCCGGATATATGTGATGGTGTCGCTCGGCAGAGGCCAATATAGAGTTATGTTTCCTTCGGGGTTCGTTTACATAAAATCGAGCAGTTCGTGGGTCATCAGTGCGTGGAGTGCGTTCGTTTCATGTTTGTTCGCTTTCTTTTTTTTTTTTCCTTCTTTCCACTCAGTTCAGCAATTCTTTCTCACCTCGATCACGTCTTTGCGTCTGTGTTTTTCCATTAGGTATTAGCAGCCGCCAGTTAATCCTTCCCCGAACGGAGAAGCAATCGATGCTGGTTGGCAGGTGTGCAGTGTTCGGTGATGGCGTTGCTCGGCACAGGCCGATATAGAGCTTTTTTTACATATAATCCAACATTTCGTGTGACATCACCGCGTGGAGTGCTTTCGTTTCATGTATGTTTGCTTTTCCTTTTTTTTATTGTTTTTTTTTTTTTTTTTTTTTTTTTTTTTTTTTTTTTTTTTTTTTTTTGTTCTTTATTTCACTCTGTCCCGCTATGATTTTTNTTCTTCATTCCACTCTGTCCCGCTATGATTTTTAACTTGCCAACGATTGTTGCCCATGTATCCCTTGACGCGTGTGTTACCGATCCCCTTACCAACCTCCCACCATCATCATCCCCATCTCCAAACACCCTTGCATCCATTGTGGTGGCCTTTTGTTTGTTGTGAGCATTTCATAAGAAAAATAGAAACAAAACAAACCATTACACCACCACAGGCGGCAAATGCCATGATTGAAAGCCCACGCATTGCGAAACGTTATTCGTTCTGCAAATCTTGTACACAACAATAGCAACATTCGTCCAGCGTCAAACCGTACACAACATGAAAGTGTCACGTGAACGAAACCAAGATTTTATTGACCACCTCTCATCCGCCCGCTGACATTGTTGAAAAACAGCCGGACAAATCTCTCTCTCTCTCTCTCTCTCTCTCTCTCTCTCTCTCTCTCTCGCGCGCGCGCGCGCGCGCGCGCGTCACAGTGAATGTCACCGCGAGTGGCATGCTGCCAACACCTCCGTCCGAAACTAGTCGTCCATTTTCCGGATGTCGCCGCCGAGACCCGGCCGGTCGTGCAGCGGAGGATCGGGCTGCACCCTGAAATCCGCGTCATCGGTCTTGCGATCCTCGAACTCATCGGCGATGTTGCAGATCAGGAGGTCGACGATGTCCGCAAGGACGTCGACCCCTCCGTCCCAGCGGTTGGGGATGGCTCGCCCGACCTTGGCCACATGACCGACTGCTTCGCATAGCACGTCGTCCTCGAATCCAAGACAAAGACTGGCGTACAAGACGGTCTGTCCATCTGCGTCCACCTCATACTGCCGCACTTCGCGGCTCGTCGTCGGTTTCACGAAGTCGTAAACACGGCCATCGTCCTCTCCGCGACGATCCCTCATCTCATAGCATGTAATGGTGCATCCTAGCACACGACCCCTGACCGCCACTTGGATGTCCATCGTTGCCCGAGTGTGCACCCCCACACACGTGCGATGGCGTAACTCTCCCCACGTGCTCACCCCACCACAGTCCCACCGAAGAACCGTCGTCCTGCTGCCGACGGACAGGCAAGTGTTCCGACACGCAGCAGTGCACTCCGCCACGATTTCGGACTCGAAAACGAGCGCGCAGTTCACCATCCGGACTGTGCACAACTCCGTGCGCAGCGCCCACGCGCACCGGACTCGCACAACGAAAGCAATGGAAGGAACCGCGAAATTGCGGAGCCCTAAAGCACCATGGCCTTCCTCTTCTCTGATGCCAACTGTCTCACCGCCCACCGACACACGACACATCTTCGATATATAATCGGCGGCGAGGGTAATGAATGGCGCCACAGAACGGTCTGCCCAGCGACGGCCACCACTTCCTCATCGGTTAACAGACGTCAGCCACCACTGAAGAGAGTCTGCCGTTGTATGACATCGACATGTACTGCATGCACATTAAGTTGTCGGCGAGCAAAAACATGAAAAAAAAATAAAAAAAATTGGAAAACGAAAAAAAAAAAAAAGAATAACAAAACGAGAAAAGACAGGATTCGAAAACGGCCACCGTCCGGATGGACCACTGCACATTCATCCGTTCGTCCCCCCCCCGCACATCAACAGAACATCAAGGGACATTGCGTGCATAATGCATCGGACGAGTTGGCAAAGCGGTCACATCGACCAAGAAATAAAATCAATTCACAAAGCGGTCACATCAACCAAGAAATAGAATGAATTCACAAAAAATTGCCAAACCGATAATCCAATCGGCGGATTGTCGATCCCGCCATCGAAACCACAAAACAGAAGCATACATAACACGAACAACGTCCACCCCTCCGCCCGGCGGTATGTTGCTGGATGTCCGAATCGCGCACTCAATCCCGCGCCAAAGCCGAGGCGATCTTCAATAGTGCGTCGCACAGCATCCGCTGCCCGACCTCCAGAACTTCGCACTGCCTCTCCTGCGTCCTCGCCTCCCTATCCATAATGTCGCACTGCCTCTGCAGCACATCGCACTGCCGCTTGCTCGCACGGTCAACGGAGTCGGCGACAACAGTGGAGTGCGTCTTCATGACATGTGTCACCGCCTCGAAGGCCAGTTGCCTGGCGTTCTTCCGCTTCCCCGCCAAGCCGTTTGCTGAGGACCTGCTGCCACATCCATCGCCTCCATCCGCTTCCTTGTTCTCGCTTGCCGAAGTGTCACCTTCCCCCCCCCCCACGCCCGCTTGGCTATGCTCCCCTTGCTGGGATTGCTGTCCCGGTCTGATGCCCGTGTCGACAAGATTCGGCGGGTGAACTGCCTGATTGTTCCCCTGCATGATGTGGATGGCGTCGTACAAAGTGCGGTCGAGGTTGAATTTGTATCCTTTCTCCCTTCGTGTTTTCGCGGTCATGAGGAAGTACGACTGCAGTCCCGAATCCTTCTCCCTGTCCCAAACTTTCCTGTACCACCCGAATATGTTCTCCCACCTCTTCATGCATTGCTCCCCGTCCCGCCGAACTCCTTCCTTATCCATCCTCTTCGTGATGTCCGCCCATTTCTAGTCCTTTGTTTTCATGCGAGCGAAATTGTGTCCAGCGTTGGCGAAATAGTCGTCTTGGTCTCTCTTGCAGCTGTCTCTTATACACATCTAGATGTGTATAAGAGACAGAATATGTTCTCCCACCTCTTCATGCATTGCTCCCCGTCCCGCCGAACTCCTTCCTTATCCATCCTCTTCGTGATGTCCGCCCATTTCTAGTCCTTTGTTTTCATGCGAGCGAAATTGTGTCCAGCGTTGGCGAAATAGTCGTCTTGGTCTCTCTTGCAGCGCACAAGGACCAGAGACTCGTTCAGATTCCAGTTCGCCCGCCCGCCACTGTCGCCACCATCCCCGTTCGTTCCGCCGTCCTTGCCAGTCGACTTCCCCTTTCCCCGTCCTTTGGATGCTTGTTTTTTCTTCCCGCCAGCTGTCGCTTCCTTGACGACAACCTCTTCGACATCGTCGTCTTCGTCATCATCATCGCCGTCGTCGACGTCGACCGGCTCTGTTTCTGTTGCAGCACCACCCTGCCGTGCGCCATCGCCGTCGCTGGTCGCCCGCATGTTGTTGAAGCGGCATACAATGCGCTCCACACAACGAGGGGATCCGCCACCCGTTGACACGTCACAACTCCCTGCGTGCACGTAGGTGGCAGTAGACGACGGGCGATGATCAGGAGTCGGCACAGGTCGGGCTTCGCTCGCCACCGACGTTGGCACCCGGTTCGACCGGAGGTGTGAAATCCCGTCGTCAAAGCCGGCGTCATGCATCGTCCGAGAGGTGCTCCCGCAGCCTTGGCCGTTGTCGTTAATGATGACCGTTCTCGAGACGTCCATGGTGGTGGATGGAGAGAGTTGCAGATCAACTGGAAGACTGCGTCCTCCCCGCATGCCGGCCAGCAGTGCGGACATGGGACCGAGCCCTCCTCTCCGTTCGTCCACTCTGGCAGGTGTGTCATAAGACGTCTGAGTCGACCCCCATGCCAGACCCAGGGTGGATGGAGGCGGCGCCCACGTAATGTCATCAGGTAACGGCTGCTGGTGAGGGGGCAGATGCGAATACAGATTGGGATCAAATCTGTGATGCACGCTCTGCTCCGCCCCGCCCCCTACGGCATACCCCCCTCTGCCGATCACATAACCCTCTGTCCCCCTTCCGTATCCATCGCCCATGCCTGTCTTCACCGAAGCAGCCTTTTGAAGCTTCTTCGAACCCCTCCTCCTTCCAACGCGGTTTAAAGTGCCGACCACTTGCCACAAGTGCAGAATGATCACCAGCAGCAACGCCCCAACTAGGAAAATGATGAGAGCCGTCTTCCTCAGCATGTCAGCCATGTGCTCAACACGGTAAGTACAAGGAATGGAGCTGGCAGCTTTCGAACACTACAAGAGGGCAGCAATATAGGGGAGCACTGCCGATGACCGACGGGACAACGGTTCCACGACCGATGGGCGCCATCGACGCACCGAGCTCAAATTCAAACATTGCAGCCAACGGCTATCTAACCCGGCCGTAGACGTGCCCCTGCAACGGGCGTTTTCGAATGCCAGCCGAAACGTCCCCATGGAGGGACTGCAGGCACACCCGCATTGGAACCGCACGACCGTTGGAGGTTGCCATGGGCCTGCTGTCCCTTGGTCCACGGGACAATACCGCCGTTGGACCAGGAACGGCATGGCCCACCACCTGACGGAAAAAGAGCAAAAAAAAATTGCGGGTTTTCAGCGGATGTAAGGGTGCCACCCCCGTTGGACCAGGAACGGCATGGCCCACCACCACAGGAACGGATGCGGGTTTTCCGCGGACGTAAGGACCTCCACGGCCGTCCTTACGGTAAGGGCCGTTTTGGCTGGGCGGCACTTACTTTTGTAGGGCCCACCCTTACGGCCACGAATGTGAAAACAAATTAAACTTCTTTTTCATCGTCATTAGGGAGGGGTGGAACGATGACAACCTTACATGTAAGGGTTTTCTAGTGGTGTCGAACGAGGCCCTATCCCCAATGATTCCCATAGTCTATCATTGCGATCAAAAAAAAAACCATACTCGATTGGCAAAGAATAAAAAAATAAAAATAAAAACAAAAACAACACGGTTGACATCCGGATTCTCTCTTTGGGCCAGATCCCACTGGCAAAGAGGATTGGAAGAAATGTCTGAATCTGGACGTGTTCCACGCAGAGGGGCAGAAAAGTAGATGAATCACAATTTTTCGCAACTGTCCACAAACACGTCCAGATTCAGATATTTCTTCCAATCCTCTTTGCCAGTGGGATCTGGCCCTTTATCTTCTTTTTTTTGTTGTTGTGCCGAACATCACGGTCATTAATATTAATCGTTTTTTGCTACTTTCGTTCTTCGTTTCGTCTTCTTCGCTTCGTCTTCTTTTCTTCTTCTTTACTTCTTCTTTTCTTTTTTCCTTTTTAATCAACCGGCCATCTTCACTTCCCCGAAGCGTTTTTTTTCTGGGATATCTGCTACAAAAAACTGGAACGATGAAGACAATATTGGCATGGCCCCCTGCACATTTCAGGATGACTACCTTCTTCGCCCGAATAGTACGCCCGGTCATTATCGCTGCATCTAGACAGAAAACTGCCCCAGATACGGCTATAACGACCGGGCGTTCTATTCGGGTGAAGACAGTAGCAGTAATCGGGAAAAATAGTCCAAGACTCCAAACAGTAAAAGAACTCGGGAATTTTTCGTGTGCAACCGTCAACGTCGTCTGTCTGGTGTCCATCGCGCGTTATCAACCCTTTTTTTTTTTTTTTTTTAATTATTATTATTATTATCAACCCTTTTCGTGTGTGTGCAAACGTCAAAGTTGTCTGTCTGGTGCTGATATTGGTCGTCTGGGACTCTGGGCTGTCTGGTCCAGTCCCTCCGACAACAGAGGGGTAAAAAGTCCTACTCCGAGATCCCGCTCCAGGATGGGCGGGGCTGATGAATTCCATAGGAAAGACATGTTGAGTGACCGTCTTTTACCTTGAGAAACAACTCTTCCTCCTGCAATCGAGTCGTGAAAGAGAGATCACCCCCCTCAAGTCCACCAGCGGATGCACACTTGGTGGTCGACACGCACAGCGTGTCACGCAGACGAGACAAGGCGATGGACAATGATCGCTGCAGCGGCACACGGGTTCTCAAGTCTTACAACCCGTGGCCCGCCCTCGCAAGGCGAGATGTTGCCCCAGCATTCTTTTTCCCCCGTGACCTCTCTCTCTCTCTCTCTCTCTCTCCCTCTCTCTCTCAGAGTGAGTGTGTGTGTGCGCGCGCTGCCTGAGAACTCTTTTTCCCTGCGACCTCTCTCTCTCTCTCTCGTGTGCAGGTGATGCACTCGAAGGTGGCCATACTTCCATATATAGCATGATACTTCCATATATAGCATGCAACAAGAGAGGGCCTTCTAACGGCTGCATTCGGAAGGAGAGAGACGACGAAAGTCGAGCCTGTTGCTACACAAGCCTTCAAGCTGGGTTCCTGTCCAGCAGGCTCGTTCTGCCCAAGCCCCAGTAGCATCGTTGAGTTTCCTCAACTCCCGAATCTGGACGTGTTTGTGGACACGTGCGGCTGAGGAAAGTCAAGGTGATTTTCTGCTCATCTCCACAAACACGTCCAGATTCCGGCGTTGAGAAAACTCAACGCTGCTAGTGGGACTTGGCCCCGGCTCGTGCCATCCCATCTGAGAATTTCATGCCGCACTGTGGCCACGTCGAGGGGCTTTTTTCTTTTTTTGGGGGGGACCGCTAGTGGGACGACTTAGTCCTGGCAGATGACTTTTCTCTCTTGTTCGTTTAAATGAACCAGGCATCTTCATGACCCCCAAAGTACGACC